ACTACTACTACTACTACTACTACTACTACTACTACCTACTACTACTACTACTACTACTACTACTACTACTACTACTACTACTACTACTACTACTACTACTACTACTACTACTACTACTACTACTACTACTACTACTACTACACTACTACTACTACTACTACTACTACTACTACTACTACTACTACTACTACTACTACTACTACTACTACTACTACTACTACTACTACTACTACTACTACTACTACTACTACTACTACTACTACTACTACTACTACTACTACTACTGTTGCCTGTTCTGACGATTCCGTGAGCCGTTCGTACGGCAAGGACGAGTCGATCTGGTGATGCGGGAGGGTGGGCAGTATGATACGAGGAAGCTGTTTGTTTGCCCAGCTGTGTTTAAGAACGCGTGACTTGTTCTTACGATACGTTTGGGCCCCCTCCCGTGTGACAGGATGTTGGGCACCTCGCTGAGACAGGGAGTCGGGCACCCCCTGTCAGGGAATTGGGCCCTCCCTGTGTCAGGGAACTGGGCACCCCGTGTCACCAGAACCTGGGCACCCCCTGTGACACGGAATCGAACATCCCCTGCGGCAGAGAATTGGGCACCCCCTGTGACAGGGAATCGAGCGCCCCCTGCGACAGGGAATCGCCCCCCCCCTGTGACAGGGCATGGGGCACCCCCTGTGATAGGGAATTTGGCCCCCCCCTGTGGCGGGGAATTGCGCGCCCCCTGCGACAAGAAATGCCCCCCCCTGTGCGAGATTTTGGGGGCACCCCTGTGCGAAGGTTTTGGGCGCCCTTGTGGCGCGTCTCTGGGCACCCTTGTGGCCGGGTGTTGAGTCCCCTGTGGCACGATTTTGGGCACCCTTGTGGCGCGGTTTTCGGCGCCCCTGTGGCGCGGTTTCGGACACCCTTGTGGCACTGTTCTGGGTACCCCTGCGCCCGGTGTTGGGCCCCCAGTGGCAAGGTTTTGGGAACCCTTGTGACGCGCGCTCCTGTGACACGGTTTGGGCACCTTTGCGCGAGGGGTTCTGGGCCGTCTTGCGATGCGGTTCTTGGCCCTCCTGCGCGAAGATTTTGGACGCCCCCTGTGCTCCCTTAAGTTTCGGGCCTCCTGTGACGCGGTTTTGGGCGCCCCTGCGCGAAGGTGTTGGGCTCCCCTGTGACGGGGTGTCGGGCCCCCTTGTGCAAAGGTTCTGGGCACCCCTGTGCCCCCGGGCGCGCCGGTTTTGGGCCCCCTGTGGCAAGGTCTTGGTCCCCTGTGCAATGGTTTTGGGTGCCCCTGTGCCCTCCGGCGCGACGGATTTGGGCCCCCCTCTGCGCCCCTTCCGAACACCCTTGCGCCCCCCAATGCGAAGGTTTTGGGCGCCCGCGTGTCCTCCAGCGCGGGGATTTTGGCCCCCTTCTGCGCCCCCCCGCGCGAAGGTCTTGAACGCCCCTGAGACTCCAGCGCGAAAGTGTTGCCCCCCCCCGTGCGCCCCCTCTGCGCGAAGGTTTTGGGCCCCCCGGGAGGGTGTTGGGCCCCCGTTGCAGAGTGTCGAATCCCCTCTGCGACAGGATTTGGACCCCCCCCTGCGAGAGGGTGGCGCGCCCCCCTGTGGGAGGGTTTCGGGTGCCCCTGTGGGGGGGGGTTCGGGCCCCCAATGAGAGGGCGTTGGGCCCGCCATGCAAAAAGGTTTGGATAGGGATAAGGATCAAGTCCTGCCAGGGTGGCCCGCGCGGGGCAGGACCTCCATTGAGGTCTCAACTGTCGAACTTGGCCTCCGCCGCCCAGTTCACGACCACGCCCCGGTGTCGCTGCCAAACTTCCCCAGCTGCAGTCACTTTCCACGCGCGCAAATCTTGGTCAACACAGAACCGCTTGATATTGTCTTCGAACCGCAATCCATCTGCGACACGACGGCCTCCGGAGACGCAGTGCGCCGAGCTCACTGGCGGCGGCCTGCCATTCCGAACCTCGACAATCTGTAACTTTCCAAACCCATTATCCCTGATCTTTCCTCGCCGCTTCGCCTGCCCGCCGTCATTCCCTCTTGGAGCGTTCGGGGGCCCATTCCTTCACCGAGCATTCTCGGGCAAGGCGCCGGACCTTGCACGTTGCTCTCTGCACCCAATCAACCCATGGCTCATCGCTGCCCCTGGTAACCCAACCATGCGTCGTAACATCGTGTGTCGCGCGACTCTCAATTTGCTAACTTCTTCAGCCCTCGGTGACCACGACTTTGATGACCACATGATTATTCCTGCGACCGTGCTGTCGGGGGAAAACAAACAATCTTTCCTGATCCAAACTGATTTGTTGAGAAGCAACTTTTTCAGCGCCCAGAACTTCCTCCATCCAACGGCGATCCGGTTTGCAATCTTTGGTCCGGTGGAGTCCTGTAGAGACAGCACCATTCCCAAGAGTTCCAAGGTCTCCCCGGGTTGCATAACTTCGATGGAGAATCCTTCAGCTAGGCACACCTGCCCGCGCCGCGAGAAATCGTCTCGAGTCGCTTGTACCTTGCACTTTGTAGGATGCAAAGATAAACCCCGCTCGGGGAGAGCTGCCCTCAACATCAATATCATTCGTTTCATGCTGACCCAACTTCTCGCGAACTGTGTCTTGAGGCGGTGCTCCCGGAGCTCGTGCCTGACGTTGGTACCGTAACCGCGTTTCTTCCAAACCTCGCTCACGTCTTGCAAAACGGTTTGGAGCGCCCCTGCGAGAGGGGCCCTGGCGCACCCGTGATAGCTTGCTGGCAGGTTGCAACAATCATGTCGGTCCTCGCGATACAAGCGAAAACGAGCGCAAACGCACTCTAAGTGTCTCGTCGACGGCCACAACGCACCACAGCATTTGCAGCTGTTTCCCGTCTGGTGTCTTGTCTCGGTGGCACCAGCCCCACTTCTGAAGATCACTCATGCGCCCCGCTGAGGGAAGGATTGACTCGAACATGAGCGCTTTGGGGCACCCGTGAAAAAGGTTCGGGGCCCGCGTGAGAATGTTCCAGGGTCCCCTGCGAAACGGTTTGGGCCCCCGATGAAAAGATGTTGCCCCCCCTGTGAGATGGTTTCGGGACTCCTGTGAGAACGTATGGGCCCCCGGGAGGGTTTGGGTCCCCCTGTGAATCGGTGTTGTGTTATCTGTGAAAAGAGTTGGGCCCCCCTTGTGAAGATGTTCTGAAAAAGGGTTTGTAGCCCCTGTGAGACGGCGCATGGCCTCGCGCGAAAAGGTCCGCGGCCCCCTGCGAGTGGGGTCTGCCCCCCCCCCCCCCCCGCGAGAGGGCCCCGGGTTAATTGTTGGAACATGCATGTTCGGCCATGCGTAGAAGGGTTTCTGCGCCCCCGCGAAAACATGTTGGCCCTGCGCGATGGAGTTTGTGCACCCCATGAAACGGTTTTGGGCCCCCTCGTGAAAGGGTGTCGGTCCCTCTTGTGGAAAAGATGTTGGGCCCCCTGCGCGGAGATGCGTGCCTCCTGGTGACAGGATTCGGAACGCCCCCGTGGGAAGGCGTTCGCCCCTCGTGCGAGGATTTGAGCTTCCCTGCGAAAGCGTTTCTGTTGCCCCCCCCCCCCCCCGTAAACCCTGTGAGGGTGTTGGCCCCCCTGTCCCGTGAGAGCCTTCTGCCCCCCGTGCGGCAGCATTGCTGCCCCCCTCGGGAGGGTTTCGGCCCCCCTGTGAAAGGGCCCTGGGTCCCTTCCCTGTGTGACGGTTTTGGCCTTTCAGGGGCGATTCAGTCTAGGGGCTCGCCAACCCTTTCGAACATGTTTTTGTGCCCCGCTTTGCCCCCCACCCCCCGCCCGCTGTAATGAAGGTGAAGCGCCCCCTGCGAGACTGTTTGGAGCCCCCCGGGGGGGGGGGGGCGCAAGGCCCTCTGCGAGAAGGTGTCGGGCCCCCCTTGGACCCTTGTGAGAGCGCTCTGGAGAGCTCAGGGCCCCTTGCGACAGATTGTTTGGCCCCCCCCCGTGAGAAGGGCGCAGGTCTCAACGGGGCTCCCTGTGCAAGGGTTTTCGGCCTCTCCCAGGAGGTGCGATTTTCTAGGGAACCTGACCGGACAAGAACGGAAAGCGTCGTATTGTGCCCTGGGTTTATGAGATATCATACGTTGTTTCGCATGTGCTGCACAAGTCTGTCGTGGTGTGCGTGCGTTTGCGCGCGCATGCGTGCCTCTGCAGCACTGCTGTGTTGTGCCGTGCTGCTCTGCCGTGCTCCTGCGTGTATGTATGTTGCCTCCCTGTGTGCGCGTGCGTGCGTGTGTGTGTGTGTGTGTGTGTGTGTGTGCTTGTGTGTATGTGCCTGCGTGTCTGTGTGCGTGTGCGTGTGCCTGTGTGTGCGTGTGCCTGTGTGCGCGTGTGCCCATGCGTGCGGCTGTGTGAATAGATGTTCTGGGTGTTTTCCTGCGTTCCTGCGTGTTTTGCCGTGCTCCTGAAAATTCTTCCGTGCTCCAACGTATTCTTTGTAGTCTGCCGTGCCCCTGTGTGTTCTGCCGTGTTTCTGTGTGCTCTGTCGTGCTCCTGTGTGTTATGCTGTGCTCTTGTGCGTTCGGCCGTGCTTCTGCGTGGTCTGCAGTGCTCTTGTGCGTTATGACGTGCTCCAATGCCTTGCTCCTGTGTTCGTCCATGTTCCTGCGCGTTCTGCCACGCTCCTGAGTTCAATGTCTTCTGCAATGCTCCTGTGCGTTCTGCCGTGCTCCTTTGTGTTTTGCCGTGATCCTGGGTGTTCTGCGTGTTCTGCGGTGTTCTGCCGTGCTTTTGCGGGTTCTGCCATGCCCCTGTGTTCTGCCAGGGTCCTGCGTGTTTTCACATTCGCGAAGATCGCCCCAGATCCAGAAGCTTCCAAGACGCGCCGCGATGCCCGCGCGACGCCCGACCAGATCGAGCCAGATCGAGCCAGATCGATCTGTGATGGTTGCCCCGAAACTGTGCAAAAACGCCCGATGCCAAAAAAATACATCGCCCGGATCTCAGGGAGTGCGCAGAGTGGTGCAAGCTCCCCTCTATCACCCGATAAGGGCCTGGGTCTGGCTCCACCTGGGCAGCGAGGCCGACCCGCGGGCTGCGCTGGGAGCCGTGCGCGCTGGCGACGCTGAGCTGCAGGGCATGCGACAGCGGTTCGTACCTGGCTCCAGGAGGAGGGGGACGGGGAGGAGCTGGAGGGGGGATGCGGAGGAGGACCAGTGTAAACCAAAGACTCAGCAACGATATTGAAATGAACCCTCCCCCCGAACTCCCTTTCCATAGGCCCCTACAAAGATTCACTGAAGGAAGTGCCCCGTTGGAAAACAACCGTTTGACAATTCTGATCTGTGCCAAAACACCACCTTCCTGGGACTTCAGCGACGCGAAGCACCGTTACTCTGGTATCTTAACGACCCTGGCCATGCCAGAACACTATTCATGGGACTTCCGCACCACGATCCAATGTACGTGTTGCACCCCGACGATCCGACATCGTGCCAAAACGTTATGTATGGGACGTTATCCATGAGAACCACATTTTGAAAACAGGCCGCCTCCCATCCGTGAAACTCTTCCGGCTCTGGAAACACGAGTTCGCGCGGCACTAGAGCGATAGCCACATTTACATCAAAACACACACACACCATCCATCCGTGAAGCTCTTGCACTTGCTTAAAGCGGCTGCGCGCGGCTCTGGGGCCACAGACGCATTTTGAAAACTGCCCGCAATCCATCCGTGAAGTTGTTGCTACGTTTGGAATATATGTGTAATTCGTTTGAGAAGAGCGCGCGCGACGCTGAAGCGAAAACCACACGTTAAAAACAACCCGCCCTCCATCCGTGAATCCGCCCAACGCGCTGTAACTTTTCAGCGTCAGGAGCATGCGTGGCTCGGGAGCCTCAGGCGACGACGCCCAGCCCACCCGTTCGACCAGCCTCGTGGTATGACAAGAAGAAATGGCTTAAGAGGACCAGGAATGAAGGATGCACATGACGTCACTCTGTTTTTTTCGGTTTTCCCCCTCTCGTTCGGTGGCGGCATGCTCGCGTCCATGCATCCTTGCTTTGCTTGGACGGGGGCTGTCCTGAAGTTGTCTTGTTGCCACCTCTCTCGTTCTCGTCGGCTCGCGCGCGGGCTCACGCGCGGACGCGCTGATTCTGCGGGCGCGGAAGCGCCCCGTAGCATGCCTGGGAGGTGGAGGAGGAGGAGGAGGAGGAGGAGGAGGAGGAGGAGGAGGGGGGAGGAGGAGGAGAGGAGGAGGATGAGAAGGAGGAGGAGATGTGGAGGATGTGGAGGAGAGGAGGAGGAGGAGCAGGAGGAGGAGGAGGAGGAAAGGAGGAAGGAGGAGGAATAGGAGGAGGAGGAGAGAGGAGGAGGAGGAGGAGGAGGAGGAGAGGAGGAGGAGGAGGAGGAGGAGGAGGAGGAGGAGGAGGTGGAGTGGAGAGCAGGAGAGGAGGAGGAGGAGGCGGAGGAGGAGGAGCAGGAGGAGGAAGAGGAACAGGAGGAGAAGGAGGTGGAGGTGGAGGTGGAGGTGGAGGTGGAGGAGGAGGAGGAGGAGGAGGAGGAGGAACCTGAGTTCGCGGGCCTCGGGAGGTCGAGGGTCGGGCGCCCGCCCAGCCCCATCCTCAGTGGGGGGGCGCGACCTGGCCCACGGGCATCACGAGCTCGAGCTAACCCTCGAACTTCCTGTCGCCACGGCCACGGGCTCCTTGAAGCTCATCGCCTCGGTCGGCGTGGTGGGGCCTGACCGCCCATGCTCGCGCCTTCGAACTTTGCGGCCAGCTCCGCGTCCAGCTCCTCTTTGAGCTGCATGGCCTTCTCCACCGCGTACAGCTTGGGCTTCCACCGCTGGGGGTCTCAGGTGCCCAGCGTCCACCACTTCGCTGGTTCTGACCCTAGGCGAACCATTCTCCCCGTTGGGAGAAGGCCTGAAGCTGGTCGGCACTCGCTTCGCGCCAACTGGACCTCCCCCACCGCCACTTTCCAGCTGCCGCGATGGGGGGGGCGGAGGCTGAATCTCCCGCATCCCCCCGCGCCCTCCTGCCCACTCGGCGGGAGGCGCGCCTTGTCGAGGTAGGTGTTCTCGTCGGGGCCCCCTGCCAGAGGGAGCGGATCCCGCAGCTTGGGAAGGCGCGCCCCTTGGGGCAGGGGCATCAGTAAGGGCAGCATCCGCCAGCCCACCTTCGCCGGCATCGCACCTTGGCAGAGCGGCTCCCCGACGACGGAGTCGCTCCCAAGGCCGATGATCTGGTGGTCGAAAACCTCCGTGGTCACGGCATCAACCTCGCCGGACTTGGCTATGCCGTGGGGTAGGCTCTCTGCGACGTCGCCGTGGTGGCTCGCGTGGCCATCATTTGGCTTCGCGGGCACGTGGGACAGGCCGCCGCGCATCGCGTTGCCTAGCATGGCGTTCTTCTCCTCATTTGCATCATTGGGTCGTAGCTCCTCTCCTCGAACTCGCTGATGAAGTGCTGCCGTTCTTCCCTCGTAGACGCTAGAGCTCTCCACCTCCGAGTTGCTGCTCTTGGTGATGTCAAACTTGCTGTGAGACATGCTAGCCACTGTGCCCGCGCGGGGCTTGCCTATGGGGGTGTTCGCGTCGATGAAACGCCCGAGCTTCTTGTGGGGTCCGGCTCCTTTCTTCAGGTTGCTCGGGACCTCCAGGCCTTTCGTGGTGGCCGCTGCGCATGGCAGTCGTAACTTCAGCCGTCGGCGTTGCTGCGCCCAGGCGCCGCATCTCACGCATATGAAAACAGACTTGGCGATGTCATTGTTGTCGGGGGCCCCCCACTGGTTGGCGGCGACCAGCCTGTGCCCTCGAGGGTTCTGCACGCAGTCCTTCAGGAAGCCTGGGGAACCTCCGCAACCTGCGAGCGAAAGCTCTGCCCCAGGGGTATGTAGTTGCAGGCAAGTATCGCATTGCACACCTAGATCACCCTCTTTCCAATGGTGCCATGACTCCTTCCTGGTGCTGGCAGCTCGACGGTGCGCAACTGGGCGCCGTGTCCAACTTATCTGGTCGTCCATGTCGAATATTGGGGGCACATTGGCGGCGAGGTGCGCAATCTTGCCGATCCTGGTGGCCGCCTCGTCCATCTCCGCCGCGAAATGCCCCTCGGTCGCCGCGTGCATGGTGGTGGCGAGCTCTGCCCTCGCGTCTGCCGCGATGGTGGCGTCCGTCAGCCTGCGCTGACTAGCAGATAAGGCTTCGCATTCCGCCCCATGACCTGTGCGCTTTGAAGTGATAACGCTGCTGGACGTACTTAAAGCCATCCATCGACTGCGCGAAGCGAGCAACGCATCTGTAGGGGGTCTCGCTCTTCGCCTGGTGATCGTTGGCCTTGTTGCCAAGCTTGATGACTCCAGTGAAACCCGCACGGGTCCGACAAGGGCGGTCGGCGATCTGCGAGACAATAGGCTGCGCCCAAGCGCTCGCCCATGGCCGAAGATTGTGGCAGCGAAGCGGGCACAGGCGCATGCGCGGAGCATCGGAGCGCGCTGGATCGCGGGCCCAGGATCACGAGGCCCCGCCCAGCTCGCTGGAACTCGCGGATTGGTGGCTTGGCGCAGGACCCATCGACGGCAAACCCCGCGCATTCGCCCTCAGCTGCGAGGGCATCTTGGGCCAGGGGCATCCTTGGCAATTCCATGCGCATCGAAGATCTCGCGTCTGATGCCGAGGTCCAGGGGTGGGGCGGCTGATGTTGGATGGGCGACAGCCCCTTGCACGAACCTGGGCCCATCCCTTCGTTGCCGAATCATGTCCGGCATCGCCGCTGGGACCTCAGCTTCTGCTCGAGCTTGCTGTGCTTCAGGTCGCGCGCAGTCGGCGAGGCGATGAAGGGCGGTGTCTTCAGCTCCACACCGGCATTTCCCGTCGGATCGGTGCCCAACAAGCTGAGCCCGCCGTTGGGTCCATACCCCGCCACGTGCCGCATTCATCAAGCAGAACTTCTGGTGGGCCGCGTATCGTTTGCTAGTGGCAGAGATCATGGGCGCTAAATGTTGAAGGTCATCCTCGTCTCATCACCTAGTCCCATCTTGTTAGCGGGCGCCTTCTCACGATGGCTCCGAAAACCCGGGCCGCAGCGTCGCGAGTAGCCCCGTCTTGGGCTTCCATCCTGCTCGCCGGACGGGGGGCGCTGCACATTGCAGCGGCCCTCTGGTATTACCCCAGCTGCTGCAGAGCCATGGCGACTACACTGCCCGCCTCCACCCTGTAGGAAGCAGCGCGAGTGGAACAGGAGCTTGATTTGGTTGCGATGCAGTTGTCCAACACATTCGAGATCACTGCAATGCTGGAGCCATCGCTGCAGCGACCGTGGGGCCCCCAGCCAGTGCCATCTTCGCAGTTGCGGAGGCCCCGCCATGGCGTGGTCTGAAGAATCTCCCACAGTCACGCCGTAGTATGTGTAATTCCGCATCTGACAGCCCGTTGACCTCCACTCCATATGTAGCTGCTGGTCGGGCTCCAGTGCGGCGCATCTTACCCGCCCTGTGCATCTTGTGCCCAGGGAGTCGTCACGTCGTCGTCTGTAGCGCCCGAACTCCTTAAGGCGTAGTCTGTAAACTCGCAGTCTGGTTAGGTGTTTCCTCCTCGTGCGCTTTGCCGGCCGACGCCGTCCACCTGCTATGTCCGTGCCCAGGTAGGTGGCGCTCCTCTGGTTCATGTTGCGCTCAAGACCGAGGAGCTTGACGATGTCCCTGCCGGTGCTGACCGAGCCGGCAACGACCGCCGGCTTCTCGCTGAGCCGAGCTCCGAGGCGCTTAGCGGTGGCGAAGAAGTCTTTCCCAGCCTGCAACGCCTGCGAGACCGCGCTGTCCTTGGCATCACCACAAACGCCCAGCGAGGTGTCGTCAATGTGGGAGGACGGGAACCTCACCAGGGGGCGGAGATGACATGTCGATCGTATTGCTCCAGAGCGTGCGCCTTGATGACCGCATCGGCATATCCATCTCCAACAGTAAGCCCATCATGCGCACGTCGTGGTTGCGATCCATGGTGCTGGCTTCGGCGGATGTTTCGAGGTCCTTTCCATTGATTGTAGATGACCTCCGTCGCTGCCATTGACGTGCCCCGTCGAACCAGCTTGTCCCTCGATTCATCCAGGGAGATGGTCTCAGAGTACTTGCTGTAGTCTGCGATGTTCGTAGCTGTGTAGCGCCCAACGGATGCGTTCTGCTCCGCCTCCGCTGCCACTTGCCAGGCGCGACCAATCGCGCTTGTATTCCTTGCCGCGCCCCAGAATCGCCGCACCCGCTGCTGCTGTATGCGGGACAGCGCAGGCTTCCTTAGTCGCTGCCATACTCGATATGCCATTGAATATAACATAATGATCCTGTGTCCACCTTCTGCCACGGGTAAAATCGGCATCACCATCCACGCGAGCTGCGCAGGAAACAACCCGTGCTTCGCATGCCAGCATGATGTTGCGCAAGGCTTCCAGCGCGTCGTCACTCAGGTGCTGCAGGTGGGCGGGATGGAAGCCGTCGAGGCTGCTGGGGGACTTCGCGCTGAAGGAGATGGAGGCCCTCTCGATGTCCTCAGGTGTCGGCCGATTAAGGGTTGATCGGTCAGGGATCCATGCCTATGGGGCCGCCGCGGTAGCTTTCCGATGTGCTGCGTGCTTGTCCTCCATGAACTTCCCAATGTAATGCGGGTGTCTGGTGATTCCGTGCTCGCATCATTTGCTATCGTGGGCGCCTGCGCGTCTCTGGCTCGTGCAAGTCGGTGAGACTTGCTTGCTCCTCCAGCGCAGGCACCATCACGCAATACCTTCCATCGCTTGTTGGAATCCTTATTGGCGGGCTGCATGGCGTAGCCGATCTCCTCATCAGAATCCTCCGATAGGTTGGCGATCTCATCGCGTGTGCAAGCACTCTAGACTGACCGCCTTGCTTGCTGCACCGAGGAGTCCAATCTCGCGTTGAAATTCTGCCCGATGTACTCTACAGCAAGGACCCCTTGCACCTCGTCGTCGTAGGTGAGTCGCCCCGCGGCAGTTCTGGCTCCAGCTTTCGCAGCAACCAGCCCATGCACTGTCCTGAAGCCACTTCCAGCCGTCCGCAACCGCCTGCGCATCCTCGCCAGAAGCACTCTCGTGAAATCGCTCAACCCACTGTGATTGCAGCGAACGCGCATAGGAGCTGGCCATGACATCCGCGCCAGTGAGATGTCCAAATCGCATCGCAGCTCGAAGGGCCCATTTACCCCGTGCTTTAAATAGAAAGCGCCACGCCACCGTTGCCGTCTCCTCCTTCGCCGCACGAAGGGCTTCCACAGCAAAACCTCTTTCAAGAGACCGCGTGTAGTCCCGGAGGAAAGGCCCGTTCGCAACCCGCGACGTGATCTTCGCCCCTCCAACGTACGTGAGCCATGGGCGATCTTAGCATTCGCATCTCTGGCGCGTCGCTGTGGGGCATCAATTTGGCAAGTCGGCCCTCGATGTCCGACTCCTTCCCTCGCAAACACTGCAACCCCAGCAGACCGTAAGTGCCCCTTGGCCGCTTGGACTGGAACCATAGGGCATGCCATCCGTGAGCCGTGGACCGCGAGCTTAGGACTCGCGCAGTCGCCCAAACGATGCCCAGTCATTTGTGCCAAGATGAACATTGCAGTGGGCACGCGGAGACGTCTTGACAGGGTCTTCTTACCCTGATTCGCGTTGAACGTCTCGAAGGCGCGCGTCGTCTTGAGCAGCTCGGGTGCCTCCAGGAGTTGCGAGCGCGGGCCATGCATACTAAGCCGCTGGCGCGCGGTCGAGCGTCGCCCGCCCGACCCTCTGCCAGCGCGTGCAGACCCGTCTTCGGTCCTGTGGTGCATCGTGTTCTGCAGGCAGGAAGCCGCCTCCGCGAGCTGCCCCATCGCCCAGTTGGAAGGTGGCTCGCCTTCTTTGCGGAGTTGCGCCCAGGGGCCCAGATCTGCACGACGTCCTCTGTGGCCACGGACGCGATGCTGGCGTCTCCTGCCCCGCGCTTCTCCGCTCGACCTGGGCGGTGATCTTCATCCGTGAGGCTTGGTTCTCCTTCTGCTTGGGAGCCAGGCTGCTCGCCATCACCATCAGCACAAACATCCGGAACAGGAACCGCATCAGCAGCCGCGGCCAGCTCCCCTTCGACCTTCTCGGGCACGGCCTCCCTGGTTTTCCCGGAGCGGGGGCTAGCCTTGAATGCTGCCAGCGCCTCTGTCGCCGCAGGGGCCTGGAGTAATCCGTCGTCGATGCCGAGCTCGATGATGTCTTCCGCTGCAAGACTGGCAATCCTCGTCGCCGTCGGCCGTTCGCCCCGCGCTCCCAGGGGCGCGCGCGCCTGCTTGTCCGCTTCGAGCTTGGAGACCTCCACTTCAGTGCGCTTTGCCGTGATAGCCTCCTGCTTGTGCTGGATATTCTCGGTGATGGTCTCGAGCTGCTCCTGCTTGCTCTTGAGGTCGTTCTCGTGCCTGTCCAGCTGCTTCCTGCGCTTCGCCTGCATCTGCGCGGTGGCCCTGCGCGCAGTGCCCGGGGGGCGAAGCGCCCGCGCTTGCTGCCGAAGGTCCTCGAGCGCCCGTTGGTGAAGGAGATGAAAGGGGTCCGCGGTCCTCCTCCACAATGCAGCGCTCCTTGGGGTCCTTCTCGCGGTAGTTGATCTTCTCCTGCAGAGCGGTCCGCTGTCGGAGGCTGGACATGTCGCTGTTCTGCTCCTCCTTCTGCTCCTTGGGCCGCGCTCTCGGCTTCGTCGCTGCAGCTGCCCCCGCGCCAGGTATGGAGGTATTCTGCGCGAGCCCTGCCAGCTGCAGCGCGAGCGCCCGCATCTGCCCCTCGAGGCCGACGATCTCTTTGGACCGCGGGGCGAGCTTGCGTGCCAT